TGAGCAAAGCCTCATCGAACTTCAATAACACAAGCAATTTATCAATTCGTAAACGTTGTTTTCGTGTTTCGCGCGTACATTTGGAGGCGACTCGACGCTCGCACGTGCGGGCCTAGCCCCCGCCCAGCGCACATCCCCGCTCCATCTCTCACGCGCCCATTCATCCCGGGTCTGTCATGTGCTCCATCGTAATGGTGGCATGTAACACATTAGAAAGGATGCCGGTGCAGACTATAGTCTATGTAACAGAGAAGAACTCTAGCTCGTCGGTTTTTTTTTATTCGATTCGCTGTCGGCGGGGAAGCGTAAAGTTCGCAGAAGATGGTGCGACACGCTGACCTTCCATAAGAGCAACATTTCAGTCGTTCTGCCCGCTCCACCGCACACTGCTTCATCATCATCGCTGCCCGCAGGCGATTCTCCGTTCCCGACCGTTTATCCGACAGACGACCTATAGAAAATACAGCCGTAAAAATACCAAAATAGCAGAAAATAATAGCCGTATTACATAACACGTACAATACCATGCCACGCCACGCTACGTCACACCACGTCACACCACGCGCCACGCCACACTACGTCACACCACGCGCCACGCCACGCTACGTCACACCACGTCACACCACGCGCCACGCCACACTACGTTACACCACGCCATGCCACGTCACACCACGCCACACGATTCCCAAACAGCGGGTTTCCGTCGCAACCGTTCTGTGCACAGGCACTTGGAACGTTTCAATAATAAAATGTTGGTAAATAAACACGAAAAGTATTTACTACAAAAATCTTTATCTATTCTCTTTCGCCTATTATTGGTAACAGTGCCCCGTAAATGCAGTTCAGACGCTTCTCTGCAACACACAATTTCACCCCACGCACCCCCACTGAGCACAACCTCACAGAAAGATAGAGTTCCATCTTTCTATCTTTTCTAGAAGAGTTTGTGCACAGTGGTGTGCGTGCGGTGACATCGTGTGTTGCAGAGGAGCATTTAAACCGCATTTACATGGTATTAGTAGTCGATAGAGAAAACATCAACATTGAGACTTTGAAAGTAAATACATTTCGTGTTTATTTACCATGATTTTGACATTGAAACGTTCCAAGCGCCCGTGGTTATATGGGGGAATCAGGGCACCATGATAGACGCTTGCAACCGGAAAGCCACGTATGTAGTAAAGAATGCCGCTACGTTCTCGTTGGGACTACGATGATTAACGAGTTATCTAGGACACCGAATCTGCCCGGTATGGAGGTAACCGGGTCTTCTTTGAAAGCATTCCTTTTCAGTAATGATGCACATTGTGGAAAAAAATGCTCACGACTTTTTAGGTTAAATTATATCTCACCTAATAGGTACAAACATGAGCATGTAGGTTTTCGCGTTGTTGCGGCTTTTCGCTATCCGCTTCCGCTAGTTACTACGCTAATGTATATATCAATGACACTATAACAGTCTTGCTTATTTGCATACAATTTGCGAATTTATGTCACTCTATACACTCTTATGAACCACCTTTTCGATATTCTCGTCCGCTCTCTCTCCCTCTCTTTCTCTCTCGTCGCTCTTTCCGACTCCTATCACACGTCCGTTGTCTCGGCTAACTCTGCCCGACTCCTACACGTCTGCTCTCTGTGATCGCCCTATCCGACCTTCTCACATGTCCGCTTTCTCTGGTCACTCTGCCTGACCATTGCACACCTACACGTCTCCTCTCTGAGACCGCTCTACCCGACCTTCCCACATTCCCGCTTTCTCTGGTCACTCTGCCTGACCTTTGCACACCTACACGTCTCCTCTCTGTGACCGCTCTGCCCGACTCGCTGGCTCTCGCGCGCATCGTAACCACGGCCTTCCCCGCGAATTGTTATATATAACGTTTCTACTACATTATGCCCAAATAATTCCCTGGAATACGTAATACACACAACACTACATCATTACATAATGCTATACGCGCACATGGAATTATGATTTCACGATATTCGTTCGGTCTTCTTTGTCACTCATTTTCCTAATAATTATAAAGTATTCATAATGCCCCTGAATTTCCCAGCGGGCAAGATTTCTGTAATATTCTAGATGGCACGCAGCCTCCCGTACGTGAAATATCTATGACACAACCCACTTTAATCTACATAATTACTCTACACATACACCGGCTCATTAACTTAAACAAAGGATTACGGGGTTAACAGGAACATAAATCCCGATAAGCGGTGTCCTAATTCAATGGAAGTCCACTTTGCACAAATAAATAGTTTATTAGCGCAATATTGTGTACCGAACGATAATCCTGCTACGCGCACACAATCGGTGACTTTAAATATATCGATTTTTCTAAAGAGCTTCTCCTCTACAATTTTTCGCTCTTTAAGACTGGAGCCCGTTGTCAGAAACAAAATTAGTCTTAACATTATCATTAACTTTACGATGTTTCTGCCAACGACCCCCAGAAGTGAGTATTAGGCGAAAGTTAACATTGCAAGACTGCCAAGACAAAACATAGCAGTATAACAACTGTGTATATGCCATATATATTAGATATGGATAATAAGAAATATAGTCAATAGATGTTGAAATAAGCGCAAAAAAACGAGGATTTAATGGGGGTGTTGTAGTAAAGAGAAGCTTAAGGAAATAGTCATATTTTCATGATTTTAAACTTTGGCCTATAGTTCAGATATAATGCGCCATCCATGCTCCAGCTAAAGTTTTCCCCTCACATTGCCCGTTGAACAACACCACACTCGATCATGTGTCACTTTTCTATTATACTCTTCCAACGCAGGATATAATCCTATCTTGGAAATCCCCGATGAATGAATTCGTCTTAACGATCCGAACAGAGAGATATAAGCTTGCATTCTATCATTACCGCTCCTCAGCTGCCGAGCAGTAGCCAACTTATGGAGCGCATTACCTGGAAATGTTTTATATCCCGCGGGGATTTATATTTCAAGGAAATAAGCCGATTTCAATACACTCTGTTTGCAAGGGCGAAATTAAAGCAGATTGTGGCTTTACGGAAAATTAATAGTGGCGCAAGTAACAGTGCATGTGCGTGCGCCTGTGCGCGTGCGTGCATGTGTGTGCTTCCATGGGTGCGTTGTGCATGAGCAGAGGGAATCAATAGCTCTCCTGGACAGCACGCTCTCGCGGCCTGACTCACCAATGAAAGATTCTTCAATTCCCCCACTAGTGCTTACTATCTTTAACTATCCTAAGAAAACAAACTGACTGGCAATTCGTTCATCGCAGCTGTACGGAAGCGCCTCTCTATACAGTAGGAGACGCTACCGCCCAGGGAACACGTATCTGCTAGCGGAGTCCCTCTGCGTAAGGGGAACTTTAGTCCAAGCTGCATGATGTCTCACAGAGAGTGACACAAATCCCTTACCGGCGACACGCCGCAAATGTGCGCAGCAAATGTGCCGTAAGTATATACACTTTACAGAGATGTGCGCATGCGTCACCCACGCCGATGTTCCCACTACATTAGACGAGATTTAACTAAACTAAGGCCAAGGCTAACCCGACCTATCGCCACGACTGTACAACGTCTGCGGCACACAGTGATAAGAAAGGCAGCCATTTGAGGTTACACAGTAGACAGCGGTGTATCCGAATGGGTTTTAAATGGGTAGGGTGGCGGGGGTGCGTGTTCTTGTTCGTGGACGTCAATGTTGCATGGATGGGTGATAACCACTCCAGTCTAGAACATCAGCATGAAAGTACCATTAGTGGGTGGACGCCGTTAAACTACAACCCGAGCGCGCTAACGAAAGACGATGGAGGAGACGGTCATTCGTGCATGGCAACGCGCAGCCTTCTATACAGAGAGCACCTCGTCGAAGAGACGCGAGGGACGCGCGACTCTATATAATATCAGACATTATAGAGTCGGCAAAGCAACTACTTGCTAAGTGCTCCTGTCAACACCCCCGTTCATCCAGATGAATTTACGAGCCGTATTTGTAGAGATCGATAGAAAAAGCTTTGTGAGAAACCCATTTCACGATAACGCGGGCAGTCACGCGAAGTGAAAAATAGCCAACCAACACGAAACGTTTACTTTGATATAAATCATATCAGAAACGCATCTCGCAATCTGTCACCCGTTGCTTAGGTTGCCTACTCAGCAATCTGAACCTCTGTCAGTCTATTATAATACGCTGCAAAACTATCTTCCATTCTGGCCCCCCCCCCCAACTAGAAATAATTCACTGAGCGATGTAGTCAATAACCGCTGCGAAAATTGCAAAGCGCTTCCCGTCACAAGGTTGCATGTCTGGAAGCTTGACACATAGCATTTTAATGAGGTCGCAGCACACCGTCCCATCCCCATTCACTCTATTTCTATACTTATCAGTTAGGGTGCAGTGCTCTGTCTCTCGCAGTCCCCCTACCCCATCTACTCTCGTCTTCTCTCATCTATATATATTAATCTATATATATATCAAGGAGTACATAATAGAGAATTAACTTGCTTTAATAGGATGGAATTTAATATTCTCTATCATGATACTCTTGTTATATATATATATATATATATATTAGTATATATATATATAGAGTGAGCAGACGAGAAAGAGAGAGAGAAGAGAGAAAAGCGGGAGAGAGAGACGTGGCTGGGAGCTGAGAGAGTGGGGAGGGACTTGTGCAGGAGACTAACTGAGAGCACTGCCCCCCTGAACTGATAAGTTAGAATAGTTAGACGATGCTTAGTGAATGCGGATGGGACGGGGTTGTGTCAATTACTCTTCGATATATGATATATATATATATTATCATATATATATATATATAGTATATATATTATTATAAGTCAACCCTCTTCTCCCTACCTCTTCGTTCCTTGACGACCGCAGCACAGCAGCCGCGTTACGTTTTGCTCTGTTACCTCTCTTCCTCTTGCCTTTTACCCGTTTCGTCTCTCCCAACCCTACCCCACCTGTCTTTCATGTGCGCTAGACCCTCGCTCCGCAATCGTTACCTCGCGTTGATGTAAGCCAACATTATTTCGCGTCTTCCCTACGGATGCGTTGAATCGGCTTGCACACTTCGACGGACACCTAAGCATCCAGTTCGCACGGCCGCAGCTACTCGCTCGTAATTGGCCCTTCTTATGCTCGCGCTACGACGCACAGCGATAACAAGCAGCCGAGATATTACAACCTGCATCGCACCTGCTACTTCGATGATGAATACTCGTAATGGTCAACTCAGCGGCCGCCGTCCCACCGACCCCTCGCGCTCTCACGCCAGCCTCTCACGCACGCACGCACGCACACGCTGCAGGAACGCCCTCGCTTCGATGCCTAAGCTTCACGTAACCTGAGAGACCGGATCAGAAAGTGAAGATTTATTTATGCGAAAACGATCCCTGCGACATAGCATTAACCGCGACAGGTGACCTGGTCGGTCCAGAGGCAGAGAGAGCGAGAGAGCGAGAGAAGGGGGCAGTAATAGTAATAGAGAGAGAGAGGAAGAGAGAGACATCGCCAGAAGAAGCTGAGAGAGAGACGAGAGAGAGAGAGAAAAGAGACGAGAGAGAGAGAGAGAGAAAAGGAGATGTGAGACAGAGAATAAAGAGAGAAAAGAGAGGACGAGAGAGATGGGGGGGTGGCGGGAGAGAGAAGAAGAGGAGGAAAAAAAGGAGACTGAGAAAGATGAAAATAAATAGCAAAGATAGAGCACGAGCAAGCGCGCAAGAGTGTGCGCGCTAAAGAAAGAGGGGGAGGGAGGGAGGAAGGGGAGAGAGCGAGAGAGAGGGAGAGACAGACACAGACAGACAGACAGACAGACAGAGAGAGAGAGAGACAGACGAAGAGACGAGAGAGAGCAGAGAGATGAGACAGAGAGAGAGAGAGAGAGAGAGCAGAGAGAGAGAGGAGAGAGAGAGATCGAGAGAGAGATGAGAGAGAGAAGAGAGCAGAGTAGGATGAGAGAGAGAAGAATCGCTGCCAACGCGGTGCGTGAGAAGCAGGAAGACTAATACTTGCGTATAAACTCATCAGACATTCTGGGGTCTGTGGGGGTTTAAACTGCGCGTACATTGCGCTGTATGCGTGCTCTCCGGCCTCGCACTAATTCAAGCTAAAAGCACTATCTCCGCTTTGGTACACAAAGCACGTATAAAACGGAACTGTAGGCCGGATGTAACGCGGACCCCGTTACAGCTGCGACCCTGCCAGTCTCCTCGACGGAGTAGGTGTACTTTGCATCCTTTACTCGGAATAGACGAACTCACCAATGGCTGGTCGCACGCAAGGCCCAAAAGCACGCTTGATATGTATAGCCAACGACAGTGTAGCTCCATGTACGAGACGGAAAATAGTCTATACAATTGTCAAATGTAAGCGAGTAGCGCGATGGAACCTTCAAAGAATCCAATGGAAATCCAAGATGTCTTCCCAAGAAATTAATATCTAGCATATATCTCTGCAATAAATATGCTGAGAAATTGCGTGCAACGCGACATTCCATGACCGTTAACGTTCGAGATCGTATCTGTAAATCAGTACCCATCAATTTATATGTTTAATCAATTCTTTACTAGAATTTCTTTGATCTTTAGTCTAGGCTTCAACTTAGGTAACCCGGTGTTACTGTTGAGCAATGGTAGAGAGGGCGATGGTCGCGTGATGAACCACAGCCTAAGTGCTGAGTTACGTGTGAACATGCGTGTTGATGAAACAACTACATTTACATGTTACCACTAATAGATAATATCAGCTTACGTTATTAAATTGTGATGTGCCTTTTCTCATTTGGCAATGGGTTTCTTAGCAAAGAAATGTCTCTAAAGTTTAAAGCTGCTTGTGGAGACCACCGCGGTTAATCGGGAGGTTTTCGGGCGGTTCGCTAGCCCAGTCCGATTAGAGCATAGGACAATTTGTATCAGGAGTCTATGCAATCATCTAATTGCATAGACTCCTGACATGTATTTCGCATTGCTTTGTTTGCCACAAGAAACATGATGTTATTATCAGGAGTAGATAATACGGGAATTCCCTGATAGGCCCTCAATCCTATTATAGAATAATTCCGCTATTATCTACTCCTGATGTCAATATATATTATATAAAAATATGAACATATATATATAATATTATTATATATAATAATGCGTATATCGTAGCGCTACGTAGAAGCAAGGAGCTAAATCTTAACAGCTGTTATATTTATATTTATATTTATATATATATATATATATATAATATGACGTATTCGTAGCTACGCTAGAAGCAAGGAGCTAATATAACAGCCTGTTATATTTAGGCTCCATGCGTAGAAGGATCGACACTTCGTGCGTTACAGCCTACCATAGAAATAATATCAAGAGCTAATAAATTACTGATGTTTATAGCCATTGTATTAGCTCTTGCATAATATAGCATAGACGAAATAATATAGGTCGGTTATCTATGATTATTTTTATTGGTTACTACTTATTCTGCAAGTCTACATAGCGCTGACTGATAAGCGGGGTGAATATTGACAAATTTGAAATTATTAATTCACCCGCTGCTGATACTATCGATCCGCATAACTACACTCCATACAGCGGGCGGGATATCTCTATACGTGTGACGCACACAGCGTACGCACACGTTACACGGTACACGCTACCCGAATATATCGCAAAGAACAAACGCGGATTACGACGGCGGGCGATCTCGCGGCGTAATTCAGAAGCTATAATAGCGATTCGTCATTCCATCGGGCACCTGCTTCCCCTGCCCCAGGCACATGATATATAGTATTAAATGATCAGTGGCTGCTTTGTCCATAGCAGCGTCATCCCCTTCTCTATCGCGCGGTGAAGATGTAGTAGCTCAATATAAAACGCTTACTTATACAACTAAAATTATTTATCAGCGGATAAATGGAGCGGCGATATGGCATTATGCAAGCTGCTTGTATTAACGAGCATATAAGCACCGTTTGTATATGTCCACAAGATAAATCACGGCGGGTATATACGCCGGAGCGCTTTTAACTTCGCTAGCCAAAACACCTTAGATTGGTAAGCGCAATTTAGTGTTAAATATAAAACAGCCCAACAGAGGACCACGCCCTCCGAAGTCCTAGACCCAAACTGTTACAAGCCAGGCGCTGCGAAATGAAACCGCGGCGTCAATACAGGATAGTTTGCGCATTGCACGTTACAACCGGCAAACTACATACTGGTGACCAGTGTCCGCTTTGTAACACCGTGCCTTGCAAGATTCTGCTTCAGTTGTAAAGCCTTTGACATTTATAAATTTTGCAGTGTCATGCTGCATAAATGTGTTTCCGAGACATGAAGTGCCAATTGATCCCATGCGTGCTTTACTTCAACCTCTCTTCATACGTGAATTTTATATTATATATATATATATATATATCATATTAATATATATATATATATATACTTTATACCATATACGTATACGCTTTGAGGAATTCAAAGCGGCGCGCCCGGAATTCAACAATTAAATTCTTGTTAGGCGAGTATTAAACACCGACTATATATATACAGCCGCCGTAGCCAGGGGGTTCGCGCGCAGGGTTGCGAACGACCTAACCCCCCCGAGCCCCCCCCCGAAGCCAAAAAATTTTTTGTTGAAAATTTGCCCAAGAATTTCACCTCAGGTCGTCGGCTCCATTTTAGCTGTAACTAATTGCCAAAATCTCCATCGTGCGCGGAGGGTAAAGCAGTGAACACCCCCTCCCACACCCTCCCCGCTCGGTCGCTTGAGCTCCCTCGCCTGGTCGGCTTCGCTTGCACCGAGACAGGGCCGCGTTGTACAGGGAGTCCGGACCACCCCCTTGCTCGCGCAGAAAACGCATCTGAGGGGGTGTAATTTAAAAAAAATTTAAGACCAGACCCCCCCTTCGCGTGCTCGCAACTATGGGTTACGGTTAGACCCCCCTGGTACAAATCCTGTACACGCCCCTGCCGAGCAAATTGCCAACATTGAAAAACGAACCCCCCCCAATAGAAAGCTGGCTACGGGCCTGTATATATATATATATATATATTCAAGAGCTAATAAACACCTTTGATATATTATATACAATATACACTTTTCAGGAGCGCAAAGGAACGCCGGAGTTCAACGTTAGGTGAGTATTACCGATATATATAATATAAATATACGCGCCTTTGAATTCCGGAAGCGAAGCAGGCAATAATTCGAAAAGTACAACATGAAGCGAGCAAACGACAAGCAAAACCAGATTCCCACGGTGATACATACAACACGCACGCGACTAAAGCCATGCATCATGCATCATGAGCTTTTAACCGTTCGTTTGATAGTATCACATGGTTTGACTTTCAGGAAATGCATTTCTCTTATTAATGACATTTTCTACAAAGAAAAGTACATCATATACATTTTACATGATTAACTTACTATGCTATAAAAACTATATCATGGACGATATCAGGGGCGTCATAACATAGATTATTATATATATAGATTATATTATATGGCGTTTACGGTCTATATTAGGACAATTCTGACGATATAACGTAAACAGGCATTTCAGTACCATATATACAACTTAGGCTGAGGTCACAAAAATGCACAGAAAATGCACGGGGTTGGGGTGATAAGTTAGTTCATGATGATGCCTGTGAGCCTAGAATATTCTATGGTGTATTTATGCATGTGTGACAGAAAATCGGAATGAATGAAATGACGAGAGGGAAATTATATGCAGAGGAGACGATAGAGATTTGAGTTAAGTAAATTAACCAGATAAAGGTTAGGCAAAGTGACGGGAGTGAGAGAGGTAGGAAGAGAGAAGGAGAGTGAGAAGGAGGGGGAGCAATCGAGCGAGAGAGATAGTATGAGGGTTGTGAAGGAGAGTGGGAGAGAGGGAGAGGGAGAGCAACTGAGCAAGCAAGAGATATAGTATGAGGGTTGTGAGAGTGGGAGGGAGGGAGAGCGAATCAATATTGCCAAATAGCTCTAGTAAATTTGTTAAAATTCACCCATCCACTCAACCAAGTGCACTTTCGGACATTCCTTTGAAAATGTCCACTATAAGTTCTTTAACGTCACAGGGAACACGT